TTCCTCTAGTCCAAGCTTGCATTTTCTTGGATTAGCTGTCAAGCCCGCCCTGCGGAGAGATTCCAGCACTGCTGCAAGCCTTATGAGATGGCTATCCCATGAGTCACTGTGGATAACAACGTCATCCAAATAGGCAGCTGCATACTCACGATGTGGCCTCAGAACCTTGTCCATCAGTCTCTGGAACGTGGCTGGTGCTCCATGAAGCCCGAAGGGAAGCACAGTGTACTGGTACAGCCCTGTGGGGGTGGCGAAGGCCGTCTTCTCTCTTGAGGCAGCTTCAAGTGGGACCTGCCAATACCCTTTCGTCAAGTCCAGAGTGCTGATATACCTGGCTTCCCCAAGCCGATCAATTAGCTCATCTATCCTGGGCATAGGATACGCATCAAACTTGGAGATTTCATTCAATTTTCTGAAATCATTACAAAACCTGTTGGTTTTGTCTGGCTTAGGAACCAGAACGACAGGGCTGGTCCACTCACTGTGAGATTCTTCAATCACCCCCATAGCCAGCATTTTCTGCACTTCTTGCTCAATGGCCGCCCGTCTTGCCTCCGGCACCCGGTAGGGTCGCATCTTTACCTTTTGGCCAGGCTCTGTGTGGATTTGATGTTCCACCATCGTTGTGCGTCCAGGTCGTAGTGAGAACACATCCAAACTCTGCTGAACCAGTTCCTTGGTTTGCTGTAACTGAGCTTTGGATAGCCCTGGACCGTATTCAACTTCGGCCACCTCATGGTCTGGAGAAGGGGATACAAACAGGGAACAAGAACACAGCAGTGCCTCTCGGGCATACCATTTCTTTAACAGGTTAACATGGTATATTTGGGATGGTTTGCGACGGCCAGGTTGGCGTACCTTGTAGTTGACTGGTCCCACCTTCTCGGTCACTTCATAGGGACCTTGCCACGATGCCAGGAATCTGTGTTCTGTGGTGGGGACCAGGAGAAGCACTTTATCCCCGGGCAGGAACTCACGTGGTTGGGCACCTCTGTTATACACTTTCCTCTGGGCTTCTTGGGCTTGAGCCATGTGCTCTCTGACCATGGGCCAAACATCTTTCATATGCGTCTGCATCGTCTCTACATGCTCAATCAGGCTCCGATGGGGGCTTGGTTGCTCCTCCCAGGCTTCCTTCGCGATGTCGAGAAGTCCTCTGGGCTGTCGGCCATACAGCAGCTCGAAGGGGGAGAAACCGGTTGAAGCCTGTGGAACTTCCCTGATTGAAAACAGGACATAGGGCAGAAGCTGGTCCCAGTTACGACCATCCTTGTCAACAACCTTCTTTAACATGGATTTCAACGTCTTGTTAAAGCGTTCTACCAATCCGTCTGTCTGCGGATGGTAGACAGATGTACGAAGCTGCTTTACCTTGAAGAGCCTGCAGAGATCCTTCATTATCTTGGACATGAAGGGAGTGCCTTGGTCTGTTAGCATCTCTTTAGGAATCCCAACTCGACTGAACAGGTGAAGCAGCTCCCGTGCAATCACTCTCGTTGTCATGTTCCTCAAGGGAATGGCCTCCGGGTACCTGGTTGCATAGTCAAGGATCACAAGAATATACTGATGTCCCCTGGCAGACTTCACCAGCGGCCCCACTAAGTCCATGGCAATGCGAGAAAACGGTACATCGATTATCGGTAGAGGTATTAGGGGACTTTTAAAGTGTGGCTTGGGACTCATCTTTTGACATTCAACACAGGTGCGACAATAATCCTCTATAGCCCTTACCACCCCTGGCCAGTGGAACCGGCTCCCAATCCGCTGCCTTGTCTTCTCAACCCCTAGGTGGGCCCCTAGGACATGGCTGTGAGCCAGATGCAACACTGTGGACACATATTGTTTTGGGACAACCAACAAGTCTCTTCGCTGACCTTCAACCTCTTTGGCATAGTATAACAGATTATTTTTTATTAGGAAATGAGGACATGTAAGCTCACCCACTCCTGGAACTGGTTTTCCCTCTATTTCCGTAACATTGCTGCGTGCATGCAACAGATTGGGGTCTTCCATCTGGGCGGTCCCGAACTGGCCCTTCAAACTTGGAAGCAATGAGACTTCCCCCTCCTCATGACCTGTGCTTAGGTCTCCAGGGAAAGCAACAAAAGGGTTATCATTTGCCTCGTCTGCACTGGAAGATTGGTTGCCTCTCTGCTCCTCCGGCACAGCACACACAACGTTGGGGAACTGCTGAGGAGAAGTACCCTGGGTGGCAGTTTGTCCTCTCTCTCGTTTTCCTTTGGCACGCTTGTGCTTTTTGGGACTCACCTCCTTCTGGTGCCGCAGGCGCTTGTATAGTGGGCAGTCTCGCCCCACCAAGACTGGGACTGGTAGGGAAGGAACCACCCCCACTTTCATCTCACAGCTGCCTTTAACTGTGGTAAGGTGGATGAGGCAAGTGGGGTATAATTTAGTGTCCCCATGGACACAGGAGACGGGCACAGTCTCTTCAGATGGCAAATGGTCGAGGAGGTGGGGTTGAATGAGGGTTACCACACTTCCTGAGTCCACTAGCGCCTCTGCATCTTTTCCATTTACTTTGACTGGTATCATTTGAGCCAGGGAGCTTTCCTGTACCCAGCAAGAGTCAAGAAGGTGGCAGGGCCTTGCACCAGATGAGTTGGCGGTCGGCATTAGCTCATCCTTCCCTGGGCAGTCCCGGGCAATATGGCCTGTCTCCCCACACTGGTAGCAACGCGGTTGGCCCTCTGGCAGGTAGGACTGTCGTCGCCTTACCTCTTCTGGTTCCCATCGCGGTTCTCGTGCCCGTCTAGTCCGTGATGCTTCCCCACTGACTTTCCGGCCCCACTCGGTGTCTGGTCGTGTGGACTTAAGCAGGTCCGCTGTGACCACGTGGCTCTCCACTACGTTAACCAACTCATCCAGACCGGCTGGATTCTGCTGGCTTGTCATTTTCTTGATCTCATAGGGCAGAGACCGAATATATTTGTCCATCATTATCCTCTCTAAAACACTTAACTTTTCGGGGTTGCATGTCAGCCAGGCTCTGGTTACCCGGCCTAGGTCATACATCTGGGCCCTGGCTGACAACTCTGGCTTGTATTTCCATTCATGGAACCGCTGGGCTCTTGCTGCTAAGCTGTAGCCATACCTCGCCAGGATTTCCTACTTCAAGACGACGTAATCCTTTGCTTGGTCCGGAGGGAGGTCGAAGTAAGCTTGCTGTGCCGGGCCCAGGAGGAACGGTCCAACCAGATCAGCCCAGGAGTCCCTTGGCCAGCCCTCTCTTTCAGCTGTGCGCTCAAAGGCCGTTAAGTAGGCCTCTATCTCATCACTCTCTGTCATTTTGGGGATGAATCGACCTGGGTTAGGCTGCATGGTTGCTTCCCTCTGGACAGGAGAGGCTGCTGTAAGGCATTTTTGGACCTCCATGTGGAGAAGTGCATTCTGTTTCTGCTGCTCCTGTATCATCTGCCGTTGCAGAGTCTGCTGCTCAGTAGAAATACGCACCAACTCCTTTAGTACATCCTCCATCTTGAAAACGTAAAAAAAAATTGTTCTGACTGCAACACCACCAATAGAGTCTTTATGCCCGCATTCTCCACTAGTGTAACAGGACAGGGCAGATAAAGAGAAAAGTGGTAGTGCAGCAATCACGACAGAGGCAGTGTTCAAATCCAAAAAGAGGCTTTATTGCTAACAAACTCAAAAATACCTTTAACTAAACAAAGGCTAACGTAGCCGGGCCGCTAACCGACTTACCAGCTTACAAAAATGTTTCCTCACGCTGGGAGCCTCCTGCTCCCTCCATGTGCCACACACAACTGAGCAACTCTGTGTGCTTTGTCTCCCTTGAGGGAGTGATTAGCACCAGGTGTGAGGTCTCCACACCTGGTCCCAATACTGCTAATTGGCAGCGGGTGGAGCCACCTATTGGGAATGTAGGTGCCTCCCACTACTCTGCCTCTCAGTCCCTTACATAAATAATAATATAATAAATAATGCAATCATAAAAACTCACTTAAAAAAACGATATAAAGATATTAAATATGAAAAAAAAGTTTTTACTAAAACAAAAAAAACAAGGTAATGAAAATATGAATTAAATACACTTTAAAAAAAAACCTTGATGCAAAAGCCTTTATACCTTAAACAGATTTTATTAGCGCATTAAAACCACCAAGTGTTACGAGATGTGTGAAGTGATTTTTTTTTCTTGGACAATGTAAGTGAACTTAAATGTAGAAATATAGAAAATAGAATAGAATTGGAGAGATGAACCCCTCTTTAATGGTCTCACATGCAGAGCACACAGCACACACACAGTGACATTTGTTCTCTGCATTTAACCCATCCTAGTACCAGGAGTCTAGTACTAGGAGCAGTGGGCAGCAGCGCCCGGTGAGCAATGGGAGTGGGGGGGTTGTCCGGTGCCTTGCTCAAGGGCACCACGGCAGGGCAGGAGGTGAACTGGGACCCCTCCAAGTACCAGTCCACACTCCATATTTAGGTCTGGTCGGGGACTTGAACCGGCAACCCTACAGCTCACAGTCCCAGCCCCTACTGACTGAGCCGGACAAATATATTGAAGATATATAATAATGTGTGTTCTGTTTTATTCTCAACTTTATGAATTTATTTATACATTCATTTATTTGTTTACATATTTATTTATTATTTGATGTATTTATTCATGTATTTATTTCGACATTTATTTATTCATCTATTTATTTATTCCTGTATTTATTCATTTATTTATTTATTGCCGTATTTATTTATGTATTCATGTTTTTATTCATACATTTATTTATTTATACATATGTCATGTTCCGTCCTCCATATAAGTGAGAGCCTGAGCTCCTCAGCAAGCTCAGTGGAGGAAGGTACTTTGACTTGTAACAGAGTATTCCTACACTCTGGTACTTCTAATTTTACCTAAGTACAAGATCTTAGTACTTCTCCCTCCTCTGAACACGACGGAAACAAAATGTATGGGTTATTACAGGAAATGTATTTTGAAAATCCGACAACCGGAAACTGTGTGGCTAATTTCTGCTAACCGCTCTGCTCGTGTGACCTGCTGTGTCCTCTGTAACTCTGACAGCCGGTGATTTAAGGACAACAACATCAAAACCATGGTTTTTGAGGAGAAGATGATCATGAACGGAGAGCCCGAGGATGTTAGTACCTTTGACAGACTTAACACAGCTCTGCCATGCCATGTTAGAAACGTCTGGTAATATTAGCTAGCAGGCTAACTAAGCTGTATCAACACTTAGCTTGTGTTAGCATTAGCCAACTTTAACATTCAATCCTCGTCCAGAAACATGAATATGCTTATTATTAATGCAGCAGAATCGTTGTAGTTAGTGGTTGATGAAGGTGTAGTTCATGATAACATTACAGTTAATAATTGTCTGAAGGCTGGAAGTGAATTATGTGATTGATTTGGTCATTATGTCTGTTTCAGGAGGAGGAGGAAGAAGAAGAGGAGGAAGAGGAGGAAGACATGGTGGTATGTTGTCAAAATACATTATAGCTGCTCTCTGTATAATGATCAGCCTTTTATCACATGTCTTGCATCCTTTTCTTTTGACTTCATATATTTGATCATTAATTTGGAAGGAGTAAGGGTAAAAACAATAACTCATTGACAAACGTAAGAAACACAAAGGTGTGTTTAAAGAAAAAAGTGTTCAAGCTGTGGACAATGTTTAGACCTCCTGTTCTCCATGACTAACAATTAACAGACACTGGGTCACATCAGGACTTCTCCTGTGCCACCCCCTCCTTTTCTTATAAAAAAGGATCATTCAACCCTTTCGGTTTTACACTATAAAAACACGGATCAAACACTTTCCCAATAAGGGACAGATCACAATATATCCTCCCAGAAAGAAAAAGGTTTCAAATCTCCTTTTTTTTTTTAGATCACACAAGTCTTTAGGGTGGTATTAATATAATGACTAACACAAACTAAAAAATATATATATATTTTTTTGTTTTATTGTGTGTCCTTTGTAGAGGACATCGGGTGTTAGTTATGCGAAGCATAGTATACAAACAGCATTAACATACAAGTACATTTGGACAACATTAGAGCACAACAACTCAATGCAACAAATACTGAGCCCTCTTTTGTAGTACTCCATCCTTTTTTTGAAATGCAGAGATACATCTGACACTTGAGGCACTTGATGTATGTTTTCCCACTGCATCCGTCTGCCATGAATCCTACAGAAACCTACGTGTTAGTTTTGGCCCATAGTGGACTCCATTTGTGTTGTGTAAAATGGGGGAAATAAAAAGTTAGCAAATCCCCAAGTCCTCCTCAGAGGACATTCATAAAAACATTTAGTTTTAGGTCAAATAATGATTACACTGCTCTAAAACTCACTACACTAACTCCTAAGATGTTCCCTTACTATAATTAATTAAAATATTGACCTCACAACACTGGTAATTACAAAATTACAAACTTACCATTTCTCTTTCTATAAATAGTGCTTGTGTTGATGGACGCCATTTTGAAATACAATGAAATTATCTTTTTCAAAGCCACACCCCCACATATGTCATATGTTTGAAAAGCCCAGGATGTCCTCAGTAGAGTACAATTGGACTTAATGCTGTGGCATGTATCAAAGTAATGGACCAAAAACCAATGTGCACCACAGAGGACAAAAATGAATGGGTGGGTCTCCGGAGACAACTGTCTTTCAATTAGCTCCACCTACACATTTATTATTACAGTGATATGACATGTGGATGAAGCTGTCAAAGCGCGTTAGCTTGATCTATGTGTCTCCATTCACATATCTTTTAATGGTAGGGCTTTATTTAGGTCTTAATGTGTGCACATGTAAAAATGTGTCTTTGACTGTATATATATACATATTTGTATACATTTGTTTTTTATATTCGGGATTGCGGGAAACGGTATTTCGATCTCTCTGTCTGTACACACAAACTGGAAGATCGACAATAAAGTTAACTTTGACTGTCTTCACAGGTCTCACTAAAAAATCCATTAAAAAGCTGCAGCTGATTCAGAACGCTGCTGCTCGAGTCCTCACTAACACTAAAATAGTGGATCACATCAGTCCAGTTCTGAAGTCTTTACACTGGCTTCCAGTCTATCAAATAATGTATTTTAAAGTACTATTGCTGGTTTATAAAGCACTGAATGGTTTAGGACCAAATTATATTAACGATCTCCAGCAGAAGTATGAAGCATCCAGGCGTCTCAGGTCTTCTGGGACGGGTGTGCTCTCTGTTACAAGAGTCAGAACTAAACATGGTGAAGCAGCTTTTAGTTTTTATGCCCCGACTATCTGGAACAAACTCCCTGAATCGTGCAGGTCCGCTGCAACTGTTAATACTTTAAAATCAAGACTCAAAACGTATCTTTTTGACGCTGCATTTGAGTGAGTTGTTCCTATTCACACTGCAGTATGGCTTTTATTCATGCACCTGTTGTGTTTATTTTATCATTTTTGCTTTTTAAATGCCTGTTTTTTTTAAATGCCATTTTATAATGTGCTTCTACTGTATTTATTCTTAAATGTCTTTTATTTTATTTTGTAAAGCACTTTGGGTTGCCGTGTGCTGAAAGGTACTATATAAATAAACTTGCCTTGCCTTTGACTTGACACTGATATTGCCCTTGTCACACCATTGTAAACTCTCTACACAAACCGTTATAGCTCTAGTGTAAAACTGATCATCTACTGAATTCCTGTTCTTTTGAAGGGCACTAATCGAGGTACATATTCTTATTTCTGAGTATTCTGTTTCAGGACCCTCTTGAAACAATGCGGCTGAAGTGTACAGAGACGGAGCACTGCGTCCACACTCAGGAGCGTCTGGAGGACTGTGAGACCAGGGTGGGCTCCCGGTCCTCCACGGCGGAGGATTGCACCGAGGAGCTGTTTGACTTCCTGCATGCTCGGGACCACTGTGTAAGTTTAAAACAAAATACAACACTAGGAATCCAAGGTTCAGGAGGTGCTTTTTATTAGTCATGCAATAACTTGGCATACATTAATAATGTCAGCAGGGGGTACCAAAGCTCCATTAAAATAGGCCCCTGTTAAGCTCTGTCATTCAGATCAGCCACTAATCAGAATCAGTACCTATCAATATCTTTATTAGTCCCACAGAGGGGAAATGTACATTGTTACAGCAGAAAAGAGCCAAAGCATGCATACAAAAAGTACTTAAGATAAAAAAGAAAAGAAATTAATAATAAAAAAGTTACACATTTTACAAAAATACACACCGTGTAACAGTTCTGAGGATTTAGCAGCCAGGTATATATATTGCACAGTTTTTAACGGCATATATATTGCACGCCACATATTGCACATAGTTGCTATTTAACAACAAGAGGTGTTAATAGGCGCTTTCACACCGGAGTACTTTTCCCCCCGAACTAGGCCGATAGGGGGGGGGGATTTGGTTTCACACCAAAAAGGATCTGGGCCTAGTCCCTAGTTCGCGCAAACCTTTTCACCCCCAGGTAGAGAGAGCGTGGGACACGACGCGTTCCGTAGTATTCGCATATCTGGAACACATACAAAGGCACAAAAACAATCCTACATTAGCTCTACATAACTCCACAAATCCTACATTAGATAGTATGAATAATTGTGATTTACTGAACATACCATTGCTGTTCTTAGGGCGTAATAACGCTCATCGTCCTCAGCCATCCTACGGCGAAACATTCGACTGGTGGCTCCGCATTTGTGTCAAATCCCTAGTTGGCTGAAATAAATCAGTTACCAAGCTGTATAACATGATGAGCACAAAAAACACAACTTCAGTCAACTCCATCATGTCTGAGGAAGATGAACAGACGCCTTATGTACGGGCAGTATACGCCGTGAAGTTGTATGCGGCCTGCCAGTAAACGTAAAACGTTCTCTGGAGTCACGAACAGGCCTTTTAATAGTCAAGAAAAGAACACGGGCTGCTCACCAGCTAACTTGCACATTAAACTAGTGTCCCATATCCAGGAGCACATCTCTTATTGATCTACAGAACACAGGTTGTACGCATGCAGCCAGAGAAGGAAAAATGGGGAATCACTGCAGTCTTCCTCCGGTCCTATATGGAGGCCCTGATTGGGAATTTGGAGCACCTGGGGAGAGGCTGCACCTGGGGACAATCAGGCTGCACCTGGGGAATCAGAGGGAGAGAGAGAAAGACACACACACACACACACACACGCACACACACACACACACACACACACACACACACACACACACACACACACACACCACACACACACACACACACACACACACACACACACACACACACACACACACACACTACGGCACGTAACAGATATATACAAAACATGTCTCTGAAGTGTTTGGTTCCAAATACCAAACAGATCATTGCAGCATCCCATAATCCAGTGGTTCTCAAACTTTTTTCAATAATGTACCCCCTTTGAATTTTTTTTCAGCCAAGTAACCCCTGATCAGCGCAAAAACAATTTGTTAGGGACAAAATGCCTATATAAAGAGGTACAGCGCTGCACCATCAGTGTCTGATTTATTAAAACAACAACCTTTTAACTGAGAAACACTTAAATGCTACATTGCAAATGTTTACAATCCATCACTAAATTCATGGCAAACCAATTTGAATATCATGCAATAACACTAAGATGACATTAGTTGCATTGAACTGATCTTTTTAATAAGTTGTACTTACAATTTAGTGAGAAACATGGGCTTGTGCTTCACTGAGGATCTTTGTCATTCTCTGTGACAGGGAGGCAAACTGCAGTTATTACACTTCGCGTTTTGAAATATGTACAACTCAAATAAAATTAAAATAAATCAAAACAACTGTACATTAATTAAATACATTTAGCTTGAGCTGGCTTTAATACTTTCTTTATGGTATTCAAATTGGGCTCAAGTAGAACCTTTACCCATGTATTTAGCTAGTTCTGAAAGAATAATCAACATTGTGCATAACAAGATAAAGCACTATAACACCTCTATCAGCTGACGCCAATAATCAAGCGTGTCCCATGATACAAAATTGAATGTTTTTCAGTAAAGTCTCTCCTGCTACGTTGTTTCAAAAATCATTACAGGATTGTATATAGCTTTCCTCCTTAAGAAAACATTGTGCTCTTATATTATAGAAAGAATGAATTGTCTTCACTAAAGATTTACAAGTATAGCTTTACTGGCTTTTCACAATAATGTACCTGGTGGGCACATGCTGCAACTATACACTTTACATCTAATTACCAAAACGTTTTATTGACACACAAACTGTCATCTATTTTTCCTGTCCATTTTATCTAACAGTATATGCATACTGCACATAAGAGACTGTACTGTACTAAAACATTGTCAAAATGTGCTTTGAATTACCATTGTCTTTGCATTTGATTAGAATATAAAGAATTCAGCAGTTAAGTAATGCTGAAATAAGATAATACGATACGATAATACGATACGATAATAGGATGCGATAATACTGTTGTGGCTTCCTTCCTTGTCTTTCCATCAAGCCACTAGATCATCTACTGAATTCAGACAGTTCTAACTCGTTTCTTTCCTTTAAATTACTCACAGTTTGAAGTGTTGCTTGGCCTCTGATGGTTTAGAATAGATGATGTTGCGATGTGTTTGCTCAAAATAAAATAACAAACTTTTGCACATGCAACAAAGAAAATAGGCCTTTACAATATTCAAAAGAAATAGGCAAAACTCAAATAAAATAACAACTTAGGTATTCTTTCTTTCTTGATAATGCTTTTAACTTCATAACTTAAAGGGTACTTGTACGATTTGTATGTACGTGTACGGTTAAAAACTGTTCCTCGACGGCGTCTCTCAACAGGTTGCCCATCACTGTGGCTTTAGCACAGGCGCCGTGGGAAATGTAGTCCTTTATAGTGCGTTGACTACAGACGTCACAATTAGGTGGCCTTTCTTATAAAAGCAAAAATACTGGCTCTAACAAATACTTTATTGGTCAGATCAAGTCTGAAATGTGACTTGCATCACAGCAGCTCCATGTCCAACACCAACATAGACACATAAGAAAAGCCTTTATGGATCCCAAGATGGGAAATGTGTGCCATATGTTACTAGCTGTCCTTTTAAAGCAAAATTGTGTTTAACTTGCAACATTAATTGCACTTTTTTCTGCTTTTAACTGTATGTTGTATTTTTGTATGAATTAATTCCCTCTTATGTCCTCTTTAGGTGTCACACAAACTGTTCCACTCGGTGAAATGAAGTCCTACCTGACTGATATATTCTTCAATTATTGTATTGTGAAGAGAACATGGTTTTAAAATATCCATATGTGGATCTGCTGTATGTTGACAATTAAAATGTAAACTATAATGTATCTGCTTTTGTGAATAAACAGAATATTTAACAAGGTAGTCTGAGTCAAAATTTCAATAAAGTGGACGGCGTGAAAACCTTATCTCAGTGTCAAAGGTTTGTCATACAACAGTTAGCTTTGGGTAATTTATTCTTGTAAAGCTAAATCCAAGTAATCTGTAAAACATTAAGCGATGAAGTTGCTGTTATCGTCTTCTGTACGCATCACTATTGGCTTAGGTAAAATCATTGAAAAAGTGGTTTTTCAACAGTTGAGTAACTTCTTGCATTTAAATAACTGTTTCGATGTGTTCCAGTCAGGCTTTCGTCCAAACCGCAGCACTGAGACTGCTCTTGTAAAGGTCTTCAATGACATCCACTTAAACACAGACAGTGGCAGAACTTCAGTGTTAGTATTATTAGATCTCAGTGCTGCGTTTGACACTTGACCACAACATATTACTAGACCGACTGGAAAACTGGGTGGGACTTTCGGCAACAGTTCTAAATTGGTTTGAATCCTACTTAAAGGACAGAAACAACTTTGTTTCTATAGGTAAATACACATCTGAGTTGACAAATATGACATGTGGGGTACCTCAAGGCTCCATCTTGGGGCCTCTTCTCTTTAACGTCTACATGCTACCACTGGCTCAGATAATGAAGAACAACAACATAAGTTACCATAGCTATGCGGATGACACCCAAATGTACGTAACAATTTCACCAGGAGACTATGCTCCAATTCAAACACTGAGTAAGTGCATTGAACAAATCAATGACTGGATGTGTCAGAACTTTCTCCAATTGAACAAAGATAAAACTGAGGTAATGGTTTTTGGAGCCAAGGCAGAAACGTATAAAAGTTAGCGCTGAGCTTCAGTCTGCAATGTTCAAAACAACAGATAAAGCCAGAAATCTAGGTGTAGTCATGGACTCTGACCTGAGTTTCAACAGTCACATTAAAACAGTTACTAAATCTGCCTACTATCACCTAAAGAACATATCTAGGATTAAAAGACTAATGTCACAGCAGGATTTGGAAAAACTTGTCCATGCTTTTATCTTCAGTAGACTCGACTACTGCAATGGTGTCTTTACAGGTCTCACTAAAACATCTATTAGAAAGCAGCTGATTCAGAACGCCGCTGCTCGAGTCCTCACTAACACGAAGAAAGTGGATCACATCACTCCTGTTCTGAAGTCTTTACACTGGCTTCCTGTGTGTCAAAGAATAGATTTAAAAATACTGCTGCTGGTTTATAAAGCTTTGAATGGTTTAGGCCCAAAATACATTTCTGACCTACTGCTAAATTATGAACCATCCAGAACTCTCAGGTCTTCAGGGACTGGTCAGCTTTCTGTCCCCAGAGTCAGAACTAAACATGGAGAAGCAGCGTTCAGTTATTATGCTCCAAATATCTGGAACAAACTCCCAGAAACCTGCAGGTCCGCTGCAACTCTTACTACTTTTAAATCCAGGCTGAAGACTTTTATTTTTGTCGCTGCTTTTAATTGAACTATTCACATCTTAAACTGCACTGTAACTTTTATCCATGTATTTTTTCTTTTAATGTTTATTTTATTATCTTTTCTTTTTAATGACTGATTTTAAATGCCATTTTCTTAATGTCTTTCATTTTTTGTAAAGCACTTTGAATTGCCTTGTGTTGAAAGGTGCTATATAAATAAACTTGCCTTGCCTTGAGTCAAAATTTCAATAAAGTGGACGGCGTGTAAACCTTATCTCAGTGTCAAAGGTTTGTCATATAACACTTAGCTTTGGGTAATTTATTTTTGTAAAGCTAAATCCAAGTAATCTATAAAACATTAAGCCATGAAGTTGCTGTTATCATCTTCTGTACGCATCACTATTGGCTCTAGACAGAAGAGGGAGTGAAGAAAACAATTATGTAACTTCAACAATGAACACAAGTAAGGTCAAGTAAGGTCTTATCTTTGTAAGCCATGAGGGTTTAACAGGGTCTGACCCTAACCCTACTCCTTCCATGCAGTCCGACTGACTGAATCTTTATTGGGGAGTATATTTGGAAATAAGTGTCAGCGACCGACAAAAGTTTACTACAGTAGTAGGGAGTGTAAAACTACTTTTCCCTGCCACTTCTTTTTTTTTTAAAGGCACAGAACAGACTATCATATGTGACATATGATAGTCTGTTCTGCCAACGGAGGAGTGTTGGTATACATGAGACAAATGAGGGACACACATGGGTCCTTAAAAGTTTGTGAAATTGAGAAAAATCAAAGGCTTGAAAGTGTTTCCGAATCAACAAAGGTACGTGAATAATTCATATGACAGTGCTTAAATATATATATTTTCAAACAATAGAAATTGAAGGTTGTTAGTTTATAGTTTATAATTTATAGTTTTATTGTGCAATTTACACAAGGTGTTTGACTTGTCTGTGACCTCATATAAAGATAGATAGGTACTTTATTGATCCCAATTTGGGAAAGGTTTGTTCTCAGTGTTATAACAGTAATTAACATTGATCCTTGTATCAAACTTTTAGGAGTTAGGTGCTTGTATTTTAGGCCTGGATTTAGGCCTGGAAAGTCATTGGAAAGTCATTGAATTTGGTAAGGTTTTGAAACCCTACACCCATTTGTGGTGCCCCCTACCGTGCCTCAATGCAATAGATAGCTCTTTAGAAACCTATTATCCGGGTTCACGCCCTTGCAGTTAGTTTGTATGGATTTACAAAGTTTTATTGACTCCATGTAAATGATTAACACGATTAATCTTTGACATAACTCTTCTTCCGCGCCAAGTTGTTGATGTCTCCTTTAAAGCCAGCAGCTCTTCACCCTCAGCATCAGTGTGTTTGTTTTTGTTTTAGCCTCAGTTAGCATCATGGAGGGCGTCAAGCGGTATCTGGAGAATATAGAGCCCCGGACAGCGGCTCTGTCTACGGGTGCAGCCTGCATGATAGGGACCGTGGTGGTGCTGCTGCAGAAAGGCTACACTCACCGGGAGGCAAAGGCTAAGATCCAGAAGGCACAGAACCGGAGGACCGACAGCCTGCAGCGGGCTGAGCAAGCGGTGCTGCAGTACAACAAGTCGGTGAGAGTTCAACACAGACAGTTACTAAGTGGATTTTGTAAGGATTTATTTAGCCCTGAGAGCAGGAGAAACTGAAAAGAGTCAAGGGAAGCATTTAATTAAACAAATGATGCGGTGATATACAATGAAATGTGCGAGTTGGTGGCTCCCCCCTGCCAGCTGTTGGTCCCGTCCGCGCGTCCACAGTAGGCCTACTACATTTGACAGATGACGTTTTTTTATGGATTTTTTGTCAAAGCACTTAAGATATTCATTGCTATCGGGATGTTGGGTCATTCCAGAATTGGAGGACAATTTTATGGAGCTAATTTCCTGCCATAACTCCACAAACAAACTAAACAGGTTTTACTAATGCCTCATGATTCACTAACAAACACAATGTGGTTTGCAAATACAAAACACCATCTACAAACTAATGCATTTAGTTTTGCAAAGAAAAAACGTATCTATCAAATAAACACATACCATTTTTCTAATAAATCATGTTTCAGAGACAAATTCAGCATAGGTTTTACAAGTACACACATTTTGTTTACAACTACAACACTTCTTTTTACAAGTACAAATCTTGTTTTTACAACTACAACACTTTTTTTTACAGGTACAAAACTTTTTCTTCTCACGGCGGAATATTACTGCCAAAAGTCACGTGACTCACTCACGTGACTTTTGGCAGTAATATTCCGCCGTGGTTGTGCTCATACACATTCACACATGCTCACTCACACATGCTCCACGGCAGCAGGGGGCGCTACTGAGTCCATTGGGAAGGCGGGAGGTTGAGCAGAGCATGGAACAGCCCTTGCGAGCCTGATGACAGCGGTGTTTCTAGCGATCCAGCGATCTGAATTTAGCGATCACAACGAAAACAGCCAAGACACATATTGAGCCCAGAAAATGAATGTTCTTAGGGCTGTAAATATAATAAGCCTTTGTCTAAAATGGACAACATTGTAACTAAGGAGATTTAAACTATACAGCGATTCTGCACTCGGTCAATCAGCTGCTCTTCATTTTCTTTCCTGCTATATTCAATGAGTGATACAAATATTTTTTACCATACGTTCTGAATAAAACTGATACTGTTGGACTCGGTACTAGTTGACTGCTACCAGAAATAAAAGGAAGTACTTTACTGTGTACTTTGTGAGTAATCCTCTGTCAGAGTCCCCTCCATAGTAATATGGATAATGCATGTTTTTTGCTATCTTTGATGAATGATAAAAATAAAATGTTACCATTAGTTCTTAATGAAATTGATACGGTTTGACTTTGTATTAGTAAGCCTACTACTAACAATACATTGAAGTACTTTTACTGTGTATTTTTTGAGAAATACTCTGTCAAAGTCACCTGCTGAGAACAAAATCAAGCCACTTCTGCTAAGTTTGATGAGGGAATTCTTTTTTGTTGCCATTAGTTCTTCATGAGATTGATCCTGTTGGACTCAGTACTACTGAAACTACCCCCACAAGTACTATGAAGTACTTATTGTGTACTTTTCCAGTAATCCTCTGTCAATGTCCCCTCCTGAGTACAAGAATGCATGTTTTTCTTTTGATAAGCGTTAAAAAACATTTCTTCCTGAGACTGATATTGTTGGACAGAGTATTTTAAGAGGATGGTAGACATGATATCAGCAATACTTACAGTCAGTACTCCGGCAGCAGCATTTTCACACCTTGGAAAGTCTTTAGAGTCTGGCCTGGAATGGATAGCTGGTCACAAATATCCTTCAGCAAAGTAACACACTCTGTCACATGGTTGCCCTCTTATGATGCTGCTGTCTTTTAATATATAATTATTCCTCTGCCGCTAGTTCGTTCCTCGCAGATTCTTCAGTCTCATCAGCCTCATCCTTCCATCAGTCCCAGTTAACGCCTCCAGCACACTTCCAGTATCTGACTCCATATGATATTGTCCTGATGCTGTAAGCCCCATGATCACAAAATGACCCCTCTAAAGTCTGAGTGCCAAGGACCTCATATTATGTCTGTCATTAATGTTACATCACCCATTATAACAATTTTCTTTCCTTTTTTCTCTTCTCTTAACTGAATAGTCCTGTCTTTAAGTATAACCAAATGTAAAGTCCTTTTCCTGCACCATTTTAAGGCTTCATAACAGGCATGTTTACTGTATGTGTTTGGAGAAAAACACAATCAATGGCCCAGAATTGTACTTTATAAACTATGAATCTTGTGGTGCTTGAAGAAATACAGACGGGTTAAGCCGGCCAGGTTATATATATATATATATATATATATATATGCCTTTTTTGTAGCCATTTTTTTCAATATTTATTAAAATGTCACTAGTTATTTAAACAAACCACTATCTGAGGATAATACAAGCAACCATAAAACACCCTTTATCTAGAGAGCCATTGAAGCCCATGAAGAATTTATCCTTCCACAAATCTTTTCAACTGCTGTATTAATAAAGTTGCCACGTGTTTTCAAATTCAAGTTAAGGAACTATCTGTGTAAAACATTACAAATATTCTTCATTTGCAGTATTTAAAAAATGTTCAGAAAGACTGCATCAATTATATGCTATATATATTATATATAAATATATATATATATATATATATATATATATATATATATATATATATATATAATATCAATATTGTTATTAACTTAACAAAAATGGGATAATTGCCATGGATGTGGTGTTTGATATAGTTTACGTTCAATTTTAACTATTTTAGGCAGAAAAACGTATATTGACGAAACCTTTTTTAACAATTTACTATAATTTAGAAAGGTTTTTGTGAGAAATCATTTCAAAAGTAAACTTATTTTTCATTTTATATTTAAATTTGAAATGTTTGCACACAACATTATTAATTTATACATTTTTATAAACATTTTAAATTATGAATCCATTAATTTTATTGTATTTCCTTGAGGCTGGGGAAGATATCCAGCATGTGGTTCAACATGTAATACAAGTAAGTATATGTACAACATGGAAAAGTAAATAAAATAAGTTTAATAGGAGGATGTGGATTTATTTTCTCTCACCTTGTAATTACACAATCAAACAATCTATAATTTAGCTCTGACCTTCACAAAAACATTTTGTTGAATTGGACACATTTTTCCAAGCTCTATTGACAGACATGCAATGACTGAGACTGATGGAAGAATTTGAGAGGAATGAACTAGGAGCAGAGAAATAATCATATTTAAAAGACAGCAGCCCCATAAGAGGCCAACAAGAGTCACAAGGGTGCGTCACTTTGCTGAAGGATATTTGTGACCAGCTATCCAGGCCAGACTCTAAAGACTTTCCAAGGGGTAAAAATGCTGCTGCTGGAGTACTGACTGGAAGTATTGCTGATATCATGTCAACCATCCTCTTAAAGTACTCTGTCCAACAATATCAGTCTCATAAGAAAGGTGTTTTAACGCTTATTCAAAATAGCAGAGAAACATGCGTTCTTGTACTCAGGAGGGGACATTGACAGAGGATTACTGGAAAAGTACACAATAAGTACTTCATAGTACTTGTGGGGGTAGTTTCAGTAGTACTGAGTCCAACAGGATCAATCTCACGAAGAACTAATGGCAACAAAAAAGAATTCCCTCATCAAACTTAGCAGAAGTGGCTTGATTTTGTTCTCAGCAGGTGACTTTGACAGAGTATTTCTCAAAAAATACACAGTAAAAGTACTTCAATGTATTGTTAGTAGTAGGCTTACTAATACAAAGTCAAACCGTATCAATTTCATTAAGAACTAATGGTAACATTTTGTTTTTATCATTCATCAAAGATAGCAAAAAACATGCATTATGTACTATGGAGGGGACTCTGACAGAGGATTACTCACAAAGTACACAGTAAAGTACTTCCTTTTATTTCTGGTAGCAGTCAACTAGTACCGAGTCCAACAGTATCAGTTTTATTCAGAACGTATGGTAAAAAATATTTGTATCACTCATTGAATATAGCAGGAAAGAAAATGAAGAGCAGCTGATTGACCGAGTGCAGAATCGCTGTATAGTTTAAATCTCCTTAGTTACAATGTTGTCCATTTTAGACAAAGGCTTATTATATTTACAGCCCTAAGAACATTCATTTTCTGGGCTCAATATGTGTCTTGGCTGTTTTCGTTGTGATCGCTAAATTCAGATCGCTGGATCGCTAGAAACACCGCTGTCATCAGGCTCGCAAGGGCTGTTCCATGCTCTGCTCAACCTCCCGCCTTCCCAATGGACTCAGTAGCGCCCCCTGCTGCCGTGGAGCATGTGTGAGTGAGCATGTGTGAATGTGTATGAGCACAACCACGGCGGAATATTACTGCCAAAAGTCACGTGAGTGAGTCACGTGACCTTTGGCAGTAATATTCCGCCGTGAGAAGAAAAAGTTTTGTACCTGTAAAAAAAAGTGTTGTAGTTGTAAAAACAAGATTTGTACTTGTAAAAAAAAAGTGTTGTAGTTGTAAAAACAAGATTTGTACTTGTAAAAAGAAGTGTTGTAGTTGTAAAAAAAATGTGTGTACTTGTAAAACCTATGCTGAATTTGTCTCTGAAACATGATTTATTAGAAAAATGGTATGTGTTTATTTGATAGATACGTTTTTTCTTTGCAAAACTAAATGCATTAGTTTGTAGATGGTGTTTTGTATTTAGACACCAACATTTTTGAAAAATGAACCTGTAGTGCCGAGAGAAGGGAGACGGAGGCGGTGCATCAGAGGTGCTAATCTCTCTTTATTGGGGAGCAGAAATCGACGTGCTGTCGGGTTGCAGGAAAGAGGAGAAGAGAAAGTGAAAGAGGAGGACACACACAGGGTGTTTCTCAATCGCGAGTACGCTTGCTTGGTAGCACATGTCTGCCGAGCATCTTGCTTCAGAAGCGAGGCAAGAATACTTCCTGCCATTCGGAAAACAAAGAGTGGAACAGGCTAGCAAGTGTGCAGGTGTGCGTCATATGAGAGGCCCCGCCTTACATCTTCCGCCACAGATTTGGGGAAATTGGTCCGTGCGCAAAGCATTGTGGGGATTTTAAGACCGCGGAGTCTACTCATGTGCAGCCTCGAAATTTCTCCAAACGGAGTACGCCGGGCTCGATAGATTTCCAAGTATGCTGGAGATTGGAACAGTACTTCGGCTGCACTCGATGACGTAGTATGCTTGAAATAGTGGCTCTGAAGCAGCTTGACTCTCGATTGAGAAACACCCACAGTAGGTACCCCGGAGGTACCGTCAACATATATGTCCGGGCGGAAACAATACCCCCAACCTGTAGTTCCCGGATTGAATTATGTAACCCCAGTGTATGAATCAGTGATCACTACACAAGCCCCCCCAGAATTCAACCATGGACACAATCCTCGCGTCGGGAGGAAGCACCACAGGGGCCGAGGAGGGCGGGCCATGGAACGGGCCGTCGGAAGGGGGCCGCAGGAGAGGGTAGGGGCCCCAACGAAGGCGAGGGCATCCCCACCGGAGGGCGGGTGGCGGGCCGGAACGGGCCGTCGTCAGGGGGCCGCAGAAAGCAGGGTCGCTGTGTCGAGACCAGGGGACGGGCGTGAAAAAAACCTGGCGGTCCCCAGCAGGGAGGAGCGCTGCCCGGCCGCAGGCGAAGGCACAGCGGCGGCGGGCACGAAGTCCTCGGGAGGAAGGAGCCGTGTCCCCGGGAGGAAGGAGCCGTGGACAGGGGAGAGGCCAGACGGGGCGCCGTCGAGGCGAACCGTGAGCCGCGGTTAGAGGTGAGGCCAGGCAGGGTCCCGAAGCGCGCCACCCACGGGCCGATGAAGGCATGGGCGACGTCCGGAACCGCCGAGGCGAGGGAAGAGGCGAGACGGGGTCCAGAAGCGCGCCACTGTGTGACGTCCGAAGCCGCCGTTGAGGTGGTGAAAACAGCGAGAGGGTCCACACGAGGCCGACCAGACATGGTCGAACCTCCTCTCAGGCACCAGAAAAAGCTCAAAAATGGTCGTCCCGTCCACGAACAAAAACAGGTGGGCGAAATAGCGAGAGGATCCACGCGAGGCCGACCAGACTTGATCGAACCCCCTCTCCGGCACCACAAAAAAACAAAAATAAAAAAACAGTCGGATGTCAGCCGCTAGCTGCTGTGGCTAGCCGTTGTTAGCTGTTGCCAGCTGCTAGCCGTTAGCAGTCGTGGCTAGCTGATCTCGGCGGCCGTTAGTCGCTGGCCGGACATGCAGCCGCATGTCCCGAACCAACCCGGCACGATCGCGTACCGGCCCCATGGAAGGCTTGCCGTCCCCCAGAGCCGAAAAGCCGTGGAAATGGCGAGCGTCGTCCGCGTCCATTCCGTGGGGCGCACCGAGCCACAGTCCGAGCGCACGTGGCAGCTACGGAGGTCTCCAAAAATCCCCGGCATTTCGAGAAAAAACAAGAGTCTTTTTGCCGTGTTCGAGTCAGTCCCGGATCCTTCGCGAGACTTATGTCAGGGTCACCAATGTAGTGCCGAGAGAAGGGAGACGGAGGCGGTGCATCAGAGGTGCTAATCTCTCTTTATTGGGGAGCAGAAATCGACGTGCTGTCGGGTTGCAGGAAAGAGGAGAAGAGAAAGTGAAAGAGGAGGACACACAAGCCTCATCCCAATACCCCTCCTCGACTCCTCTCTTCCCCTCCTCCGGGACTTGACCCGGAAATCGATCAAGACACGCCATTTTGAAGGACGTCCCAATAGCTGAAATGCACACGGAGGAGTCGAGGAGGGGTGAGGGAGGAGGGGTGCGGGAGGAGACGAAAGGGAGGATACACGAGAGCAGACTACGCGGAAGTGTTTTCACTACTCGCGTATAAAAGCCCCGCCCCCACCTTCACAGCTGGTCGATTTCAACACAGGAAAACGGAGAACTGGAAGAATGAGTGGAAAAGCGTCACATAAATGTATAAGTGCTCACAGCTCCGTGGGAATTATTATGTGCAATTCATTTCTTAAGGTTATACTAACAATTTAAGTCATGTTTAATGATCTTGAACGTCACTAAAACATAGCTATTAAGAAAGCTATTTCATAAATGGCTAGATCTTGATAAATACAAATTATTTGTTTTGTTTTGTGTTAAGATATTCAGGAGTTAAATTATTTAAAATTCACAGTCCTGAATGTGGGTTTGTGGTAAATGTGGGGATCTACAGGACACACATTTTCAGAGTAAAGGCTTTCACATTATTATAATTATAATTTTATTGAAATGTACATTTTACACCAAAACGGAACACAAAAGCAGGACCAACCATCATACATTGAATTCCTTGACTAAAAAGAGAAAGATTCATCATTTAAATACATATTTAACAATAAATGGGCCGGTTCTAAGGGGTTATTCAGTTAAACCCAATGAGAGGGGATACAGCTGTGCACATGTCATCATTAACAGACGTCGTTTAAGAGTGACGTTTGAGTGAACGAGGACATCCCAATTAATACCTGAGGACTCCTCTGTCCTCGCGTCACCTCCTCGTGTCTCTCGCTCGCATCTTACGGAGGCGGAGCTAAGACGCAAGGAAGGGACGCGAGTGAGGGAAAGGAGGAGTCGAGGAGGGGTATTGAGATGAGGCTACAGTAGGTACCCCGGAGGTACCGTCAACATATATGTCCGGGCGGAAACAATACCCCCAACCTGTAGTTCCCGGATTGAATTATGTAACCCCAGTGTATGAATCAGTGATCACTACAAACCTTTCATTTTATTATTTTTTGTTATGTATTTAGGAAAAACAGATAATAAACCATCAAAACAAGTGATTTGCCCAGCTAAGGCATCAAATGTATATTTTCCAATGAAGAATTAACCCTGTTACTCTAATTATAGTAACAGCGTTGCAAGTAACAGGGTTGAAAATCAATGCTAATTTTAGCTTTTACCTCAGGAATTAATGCTAGCTGCACAATGTAATGCTATTGTCAAGGAATGGACACACTTAGATATTTAACTAAAGAAAGATACATTTGAAATTAATTTGTTTTTGTCTCATAATTTGAGTAACAGGGTTGCGTGCCACACTCCTTCAAGAGTGACAAGATTGGAAATATATTACAAATAAAAGAGAGGACTTAGTTTTGGTCTACCCATGGTAGTAGCACATGACTTGCTGATGTCATGCGACAAACAGTTTTTTCACTTCCTCTGCCAAGCTAAAAAGGTTTCGGTAACAGGGTTGCGCGCATGTTGAGGGACACACCTTCTGTGCAAAATTACTGTTATTTAAAATGTGTTTATGATTTAACAAATTGATTTTACCATTACAAGACACATATATCAATAGAATAATACCAAAAAAGTAAATAAAAACCCTATTTTAAATGTTATATTTGACATGCAAGTTGGTCACCAAGAAGCTGGAACAAGAGAAAAGGGCAATTTTAGGGGGTGTTCGAGAGCTATTTGATATTTTAAATAATATTTTGAAACCACTTTTTCTACAACTTTATATGCATCTTGTCTCAAGACAAGTATATTTAACACAACAAGTGCATGTCTTAGCTTTTTGGGCATGGATTATTAGATTTTTTATATGGGGGACATGAAATGTCCTCCAATTCTGGAATGACCCAAGAGCATTCCATGGAATATAACAAAAAGTGTATCTCAAGCCGGTTTCTCAAACTTACCTATCCCACCTTTAAGTGCTTTGACAAAAAATCCATTAAAATTGATCCATTTCATCTGTGGAAGCCGTAGTAGTGTAAAAAAAAAAAGCACGACCAATCATTTTTCTAAAATAACTGGATGGCCTACAGTACCTGCCTGTCAGCCTTCCATCTGTGCACAAACTTATCTCGTGCCCTCATAGGTCATGTGCACGTTCGTGTATGTTGGAGGAGGGGCTCTGTAAGGAAGTGGCAGATTTTTTCCGGCTGTGTATTTTCAAATTCTAGCGCACTTGAGCTGGTTTCTCCAAAATTACCTACCCTACCTTTAATCACATTTTGATTAAGAATCTACAGTGTATCATGTGTTATTATAAGTTACAATGACTAGTCAATAATCACCAGATATTATCTGCTTCCTTTCCAACTATTCCATTTAAACATGTCTGCATTGAAAACGGTCTAATAATTACTGTAGGTGTTTGGCAGAAAAGTAATTAAAAAAGTAACTACTTTGATCACCAAAAAATATTGTCATTTTTAAAGTAAAAGTCCCCAAATTCCTATATTAGGGCTGCACAAGCATATTTATTTTTGACTGTAATTGCAGCTGCAATTTGATTGGCGATATAAGAGGGAATGATCATTTTGTATACATTATTCACATAAGTACATAAAAAATTATTATGGTGTGATTTTTTTCTTTTGAAATATTACATCCATGAAGAGCTTTTACATACTTATAAAAACTTAGATAAAAAGTAAGTATAATTAATGCCTAGTGTCTGAATTCACTTTCCACACATATGTTTCTACAGTATGCCTACTGTGTGTTTGTGTGTGTCCTCTAGCATCCAGAGACCGACTCCGCTCTCATCCTGACGCTGTCTCTCTCTGAGCTGACAAAGAAACTGCAGGAAGGCTCGCTCAACCCTGAGGAGGTGTTTTACTCTTACATGGAAAAGGTGAAAAAACATAACACAAATCATACCGAAGAAAAAACACCTTTTATTTTTTTCAAAATGCCTAGTAGATCTTAGTGTTACTCTTTAAGGTTTTCATCCCAAAACTGATATTTATTAAAAACTCATCAGCAGACTTGTGTCTAATTAAAATAAATGCAATACATATATGTTCAAGGCTTGTTGCTTAAACTCGTCTACTGTATATGCACTGTTACAAAGTAAATATTGATGTACTTGCTTGCACATTTCTATATGACTTTCATGGTCTATAAAACCAAGCTTTTGGAGGAATGTGTTTGAAAAGGACCGGTCTGTGCTGTGTTTTCTCTTCCCACAGACTCTGGATTTGAATAAAGATCTGAACTGCTGCACTGGGATTCTGTTGGAGAGTTTCGATCAGCTGAAAACTCTTGACTCCAACAGGAAAGGTCTCTTGTATGGAGTCCCAATTAGCATCAAAGAAAACTATGGATACAAGGTATTCTGTAGTTGTGTATTACACTTGCATGTTCTGCAAATGATTATACATTCAACACCTATCATGTCAATCATTAACAAAGCTCAGGTTGATGAGTTGATGCTCTCTTCTAACCATTCTCTTTTGTCTTTGTTTTACATCACAAGAATTACGACTCTTCTTGTGGTGTTGTCATTAATCTGGACCACCCTGCCAAGAAAGACAGCGTTCTTGTTGAAGTTCTGAAGAAACAAGGGGCTATTCCTTTTGTGAAAACAAACATACCCCAAGCCCTACTAAAGTAAACATGCTTCTTGCCCGTGCTTATGTTCTTGTGTGTGATTTCTTTAAAGAGGCCCTTTTATGATCATATTCAGGTTCATATTTGTTCCTCTACTGTGACATGTTTCCATGCTTTAATGTTCAAAAAGCTCTTTATTTTTTTCTCATACTGCCTGTGCTGCAGCACCTCTTTTCACCCTCTGTCTGAAACCAGAGCCCTGTCTGCTCTGATTGGTTAGCTAACGTAGTGATGTCACTATGTTACAGAAGTAAACAAAGGAGTCCAATGGAGGCATTTCAGGCAGGGGGGGTAGTGTGTGGGAGAGAAAATCTCTAGAGGGAACTGTTGAATTTTAGCCTTTGCAGACCATTTACATGCATAACAACAACCTATATAACACACTACAGGAAAGGGAAAATCCCCAAAAGCCTAATATGGCCCCTTTAATTCCATTAACCTGCCAGGGACTGCAGAGGAAAATGTGCCTCTTTGGCTAAAACTGGCACATTTACAGGAAGTGCTCATGTTTATTAATGTGCATTGTCCTTTCGTGAATAAATAAATACAAATACCATTTCTTAGAGAATGCAATTCCTGAAGAAATTGCTAGTGGGAATGCTTTATGCTGAAAAGCTGACGCTGAATTGCTATGCTGAAATGTAATGTGTAAGAAGAAAGTGAAGAATTTAGATTGAAATGATACATGAACACTGGGGGCTTGAATGTGTGATGAGAGAAGAAAAGAAAGTAAAATGGCTTGGAAAAGCAGCAGAATATTTGAACTGCAAACTTTCGAACTAACTTGATGGCGAATGATCTGTCGCCATGCCAACGGCATTTGATGACATCCCATAATACGCTTAGTGCGTTGATGGCTGCATCGTTACCAAACCTGTGAAGTTTTGGGCCGTTTGGAGCATTTTCACTGAAGTTATGAGAAAACCGTGTTTCATGGTGAGCATTGTGTTGCCATGGCAACGGCATTTGAAGAAATCTCAAAACTGTCCCGTAGATGTCTTCACGGCTGGACTGTTAGCACACATGTGAAGTTTGAGCACTTTTTGAACATTTTCATAGGAGTTATAGCGACATCGTCTTTTATGGCGAGGGATGGAAACGGCATATGATGACACCCCATAATTGACGTAGAGCTGTTGAGGGCAGGACCATTAACCATTATCTGAAGTCTGCTGCTCTGAGCATGTCAGTTGGAGTTATGACATCATCGTGTTCCATTATACAGGTGTTTATATTTGAGCTAACGAGGTGTCCAGAGATCAAAGGTTTCCATTGTTCTGAATGAGAGATAAACCTCTTACATGTGAACGTTTTGTTGAAGAAGCGTAACTGATATCGGTGAAATTTCAAAGCGTGAAGCATCGCAAGGACCTTGAGTATCTGAGGTGTGCTTTTTGTGTACTTTCGGGTCAATAATGTCAATAATGCTGTTAACAGCATTCCCACTAAATAAAGGTATAGAGAGTGAACTGTGGTACAGGTGTGCTCTCATGTAATTATGTTTTGATGCTTATATGTGTTTTTATTTTTGACCTAATATCTAGTTATGAATGCAGTAACCCTATCTTTGGGCAGACCTTGAACCCACACAACCCCCTGAAGACCAGCGGAGGTTCCTCCGGTGGGGAGGGGGCTCTCATCGGTGGAGGGGGCTCCCTGCTGGGGATGGGCAGTGATATAGGGGGTAGCATCCGTATACCCGCCTCCTTCTGTGGGACCTCTGGCTTCAAGCCAACTCCAGGTCGACTCAGGTGAGTGTCTCTGCTTCAGTAGGTTTTGGATAATCATTCATTACATTAATATGTTTTCTTTGTTTTGTGTCTTATTCAGTTCACAGGGTTTGAGCTCCATTTATCGAGGGCAAAAATCAGGTAAGTTGTATCATCATTGCCTATATACTACATGTGTTGTCTGAAAATCATTGGTTACTGTTTCCTATGTTTCTCATTAAATTAGTGCTGTCTTGTCCTGGACCCATGGCGAGGGATGTGGACAGTCTGGCTCTGTGTATGCAGGCGCTGCTGTGTGACCACATGTTCTCTTTGGACCCCACTGTTCCACCCATGCCTTTTAATGCGCAGGTTTGTCCACCTCAAAATAGGTTTATGTAACAGACTACTTCTTGGCTGGGACCCTTAACCTGGACAGACATGTCGTTTGCTGCTGCTATGGATTTGCTCATCTTTTCAGTGAGGGGGCACAGTATGCTTTGTGACAGTTCCAATGTCAAATCAATCAGTCAAATACCCAATATCACAAATTACACATTTGGCTAAGGGGGCTTCACAGTGTGTACAACGTATGACACACTATGTCCTTAGACCTTCACTATGAAGAAGGACAAACTCCCAAAGACATTGCAATTAATGTGGGGAAAACTTGGGGAGAGCAATAGAGGAGGATCACTCTCCCAGGGCAATAGATAGTGTGTGTCTAGATAAAAAAAGATAATACATTTACAAAATAGACAGTCAAAATGATTTTGTGAATGTATATTTAAAAAAAATAGAGCCAGTTGGATGTCATCAATCTTCCAGGTGCTGCCAAAAAAAATAAAGAAGTGGGTGTGAGGCAGAGCGATGGCCACAATAAAGTAGTTAATGTTCAAAACCCGGCCTATATAAGCACACCTTTGAACATCATATTTTAATTATGCCACAGATAAGGCTTGCAAAAGAATGAACAAGCAGCAAACCGTTTATTGCACAATGTTGGCCTCAGGGTAAGGTCGTGCTGCCAGTTACTAACTGCTCGATAAGTGAATGAAGAGTGTCTTTATTCCCATCCACATATAACCTTGATATGTTGGTTTCCTTTAAGAGGTGGGAAAACTCCCCGGACCAGTTTCTTTCAGGAACAATAAGGATTGGATCAGATTTCCTTTCTAGCTACTAGAGACGTTTGTGTAATTGTGGTTAAGAATTAATTGTTGGCAAAGAGTGAGGAGAGGAGCATGCTGAAAACTCCCTTGAGGTTTGCTGGTTGCAAAATTGTTCACTCAGGGGGAAAGTGCTCGCTGTATTAATAATAATGAGTTCACCTATAATGTGCAGGGGAAACGCAGAGACACAATAACATCCATGGTTGTGTTCATCTTGATTCTAAAAAATCCTGGGTCTGGCCCTCTGACTGCGAGCAAACGACTCTTTGTGGACACATTGACACTAACAAGAGGCCTTATTCTGCTTTTGGGGGTTTTCCCTATCCTGTAGGGTGTTATTTAGGTTTCTGTGCATGTAAAAGGTCTGCTAAGGCTACAATCCCATAGTTCCCTTTAGATGGAGTTTCTCTCCCACACACTTCCCCCCCCTGCCTTTGTTTACTACCATACCGTAATGAAATCACTATGTAACACTCATGCTTCTATTGGCCAGTGCTCCAACACATTTCACATAATAGGCTAAGGGGCGGGACATCTCTAAGTGGTTGACCAATCACAACAGAGCTAACCAATCAGAGCAGACTGGGCTGCAGCACAGGCAGTATGAGAAAAATAAAGAGCTTTTTGAGCATTAAAGCATGGAAAGAAGTCACAGTAGAGGCACAAAATACAGATATGAATCTGAAAATAAGCATATGTACTCTACACTGTAGCTGTATAAATTACATTAAAATCTTTAAACCTTTTTGAATCAAGCTGTTCACCTTTTCCTTTACCTAGAAACGACTTTAGGCTACTTAAGTAAAGCTTTTAAATAAAGAAAAAACGTACTTAAAGAAAATACTTCCTAAAAATATATATTAGTTACATTTCATTTTTTTAAATATACATTTATTCGAATTTTTATAACAGTGGATACCAAAAGTATTTACAACAAACAAAATGAATACCTACACATAATGAAAGAGAATAAGAGGAGAGAAAGAAGCATGTTGTGTTTGTATTGTTTCCACCCGGATGTCCCCTGACTGATCTGAATGAAAATCTTTTGTCCTCAGATTTACCAGAGCTCCAAACCTCTCCGGATCGGTTACCTAGAAAGCGACGGCTACACACAACCGTCTCCAAGCATGGCCCGCAGCGTCAGAGAGGTCAAAGCTCTGTTAGAGGCAGCAGGGCACACAGTAAGACTTCTCCACTCACACACACGAACACTGTATGATCTACTGCCACATAACATATGTGATGTGAGCGATATGTTTTCAATGCTGTTACCTTTTCCCCCTGTCTGTGATTCGTGCCTGTAGTTGGTGCCCTACCGTCATCTGAATCTGCAATACGTTCTTCCTGAACTGGTTGTAAAAGGTATTCTGGCAGACGGAGCCACCACTCTGCTCCAAAAACTGTGAGTTAGAATTACCTTGCAGATGGAAATTAGCTATAAAATATAATCTGGCATAATTCATATCTTTTCTTTTCTGAGATTCATGTATTTGTATGCATGGTCCTTGTTGAAATAACTTAAAGGAGAGGTGTCATGGCCATTTCCACTGATCATAATTCCATTGTTGAGGTCTACTAGAATAGATTTATATTGTGCATTTTTCCAAACTCACATTGGTTTCTCATGCAGCATCTCTGTAAACTACGTGTATTCACTGAATTTCACTCTCTGCCTTTAACGGCTCGTTGGAGCTCCAATAGCTCCAGCCCCCACCCTCCCTGTGAGCACAGTGTGCTCTGATTGGTCGGGACGTTGTGACTCGCGCTGAGCTCCGTGGAGGTGTTGTTTCCTTGTTTAGGATACACAGCGAAACACAGCCAAACTCATCCTGAGCACACACAAACTCACAGCCGGATTAAAAACAATAAGTGTGGCTTGATATTGAGTAAGAAAAAGGTTGATAAACGCTGTGAGAATGGGTCTGCAGAGAGAATTTCGCCGCGATCCCAACTGTCTGTTATCAGCCTGCAGTCAGGGAGGAGAAATCAGCTGAGCTGTGTGTGTGAGGAAGTCCGTGGATTGGTCAATTTGGACCAATCAGCGGGGGCTTAACGTAACGGCTCCGCGGACGTAACATAACGGCTCCACGGATTGGTCCATTTCGTTCCGGGTACGGCATGACATCATGCCGTACCCGGAAGAATCAAATGGACAATGACGAGGCGTTCTGGGGAGGTATTTTCTGTGTTAGAGTTTTACTCGCTACAGGGTGTACTTTGAGGGTTTGTGACTCTGCAGACCGTTTACTGTACATGCATAAAAACCTTCATAACACACAAGGGGACGGGTAATAACCGGAAAAGCATGACACCTCTCCTTTAACCTGTCTAACTATACCAATGAGCCAAGTTACAATCCCTATGAAACAGATAATGTTGTGTGCTAATGAACGCTTATATTTTCTGTTTCAGAGAGGGCAGCCCTGTGGACCCTTCTCTCAGAGCACAGATTGCACCGTACGCTCTTCCTACATGGTTGAAGAAAACCCTCTCATTTCTGCTCAAGCCCTTTGTGAGTTCTCACCCTCTGACAAACATGCATACAGGCTAACATTATATCCTCAAGGTTGTTGAGTATAAAATTGGTTTAAATATTTATTTGGTAGATATTTCCTTAAACAGTTATTTTTTTATTTGAACGGTTTTTATGTCTTGCTTTTGTTTTTCAGTCTCCTCGGGTTTCCGCTATGCTAGGAGGTCTCTGTGGAGTTGGGTGAGAAAGTAACTTAGTTCGTCATCGGTTTGCACTTATGGTTTCGTTACATTGCATGTGACGGGCAAAATGCAAAAAACAAACAGATTGTTTTGTCTGCCTTGTTTTTAGATCCATTCAAGATCTGTGGAATCAGCATGCTGCAGTTGAGGTACTGTTAGTTGTCGGCTAATAACGCTTTTACATCTAGGAATGCAGAACATTAAGTTCTCATTGTTTTGCTCAATTGTGTTCTCATTAGGACTACATTCAGGAAACGATAGCAGAGTGGAGGAAATGCAACATAGACGCTCTGCTGTGCCCTGTGATCGGACCGGCCTACAACCACCTCTACTGCGGCAAGCTCACCAGTACGGCACTCAAACTACTTCTATACTTCAGTTCAATAAAACGTAACTTAATAAAACACTTAAAAAAATCAAAGGAGAAACTCCCTCGGGAGGGAACTTTGAAAAACCAATATTACACCTTACAGGAAAGGGAAAATCCTGTAAAGCATAATAGGGCCTCTTTAAATCTTGTTACCTTGCTAGGATCATTGATTTGTGGAATAATGATTTTGCCTGAAACGGTATTGCTAAATCTCTACCGGTGGACATATTTGAACCCAGTAAATATATATACATATACAGGATGATTTGATGTCCCTGACAAAAAGGCGAAATATTATCTGTGTTAATTATTGAGCTTTAAAACACTTCATAGGAAGGCTATATAAATAAAGGCTTACATGGTGTAATAGTATCCGTCCATTCATTCAAAGGTTTTTCCTCATATTTGTATCAATGATATTCAGTTTTGGCTGATACTTGATAGTAGAGAGAACAATGCTGTTGTATTAGCAAAATAGCTATCTCTCTGCAACAACAACAATAATATGACTTCCTCCTCTTCTTCTGTAACCTGGTGAATAACCTATTATCTGTCCTTCCAGGCCCTGCGTCTTACACGCTGCTTTTCAATCTCCTACAATTTCCTGCCGGAGTTGTTTCTGTTTCCACTGTGAAGGCAGAGGATGAGGAGGAACTGAAGAACTATAAAGGCGTTTATCAGGATCAGTGGGACAAGCTCTTCAAACAGGTAAGACACTCTGATGTGACTTACACAACAGTTGTTCCATACAGCACTTGTAAAAACCTCCAGTGTGAAGCCGTAGTTCTGCAGTTGGTCAGTAGATGGAGGCAGGAGACTTTGGTGGTTCTCTGACTGGATGTTGTGTTTGTGTTCAGGCTGTGTGTGGAGGCGAGGGTCTGCCCGTGGGGGTGCAGTGCGTCACTCTGCCGTGGCAGGACGAGCTGTGCCTGCGCCTCATGAAAGAGGTGGAGCAGCTGGTCAAACAGAGCAAAGCGTAAAGGAGGACACACAGAAGAAGTATGAGGAAAAACACAATCAATGTTTGGGAGAAGGAAGTTGAGTATAGGAAATGCTTTAATATGAAGAGTTTCACTGTTCTGCTATATAAGGATGAACTCAGGCATTTTCTGCTCATTGGCTTTTTTAGATCCATAATTTAGATTTTATAAATGTTAAAGGGAATATTCATGTTTACTGATTTGAAAACGGTACACCTTCTTTGCTTATCTGTTTGTTAACATTGTTTTTAATTTGTCTTGCACTACTAAAACAGGAACTTAGCTTTTGCTGCTTTTAAATGAACAGTATTACTGACATTGACAGGCTTGATTATAGGGTGTTTCGGCAAAATTCAGCATCCTGAACATTGAACATGAAACAGTGTTTGTTCAGTTGGCATTATGTTTAAAGGTAGTTTGAGAAACCGGCTCGAGATACACTTTTTGTTATATTCCATGGAATGCTCTTAACATCCCGATAGCAATGAATATCTTAAGAGCTTTGACAAAAAATCCATAAAAAAATGTCATCTGTGGAAGCCGTAATACTGTAAAAAGTACGACCAATCATTTTAGCCGGCCCGGCTAAAATAGCTGGATGGCCTGCCTGCCTGTCAGCCTTCCATCGGGGCACAAACTTATCTCGTGCCCTCATTGGTCATGTGCGCGTTCGTGTGTGTTGGAGGAGGGGCTCTGTAAGGAAGTGGCAGATTTTCTCCGGTTGTGTATTTTCAAATTCTAGCGATCTCGAGCCGGTTTCTCAAACTTACCTACCCCACCTTTAACATAATATTGCATGAGAATGAAATACATGCTTGAAATTAAATTGACCTCACAACAGCGTTATGCAAACAGTGCATAGCAACCACACACACAACGTTTTGTGAGTTAGGGTTTATAATGAATAATGTTGGCACCTGATTCATGTGTGTCTTTTTTACAAGAACTGACAGATTTCTGAATGTGATGACAAAAAATACAATAAAATTACTGATAAGTTGCTATTATTGGTTTCCAAAATAGAAATGTTGAAATGTGGTTTAAGAGGTTGGTACCAGACATCGATAATGCACTCTGTACAGGTAAGAAATAATCCTGCGTTCCTTCCTCTGCTCACCTGTAACATCACTTGTAATGGTTTCTTTTGGTGTACCAGTTATACGTTGATATTTACAGTATTTAAATCCTGCACAGTTAGCATGTGTTGTTTAAGAAGGTAAGGAGTGTTTAAGAAAAGGAGTTTATAGAGTGCACCTTCATGGCATCTGTGGGGTTCACAAAACCTCCGTCTTTCCCTTCTTCCTCCTCTCCTCCTCTCCATCACTGTGCCAGAGATGAGCGAAGATCATTTTCTTATTGTGAGTGATTGTTGTCCCGATGCTTTTACAGGAAACAGAAAAGAGATAAAGGAGACTAATGACACATGGCGCCTCCATCTACAAGGCCGGCGCACCGTGTCGTCATATTGTGATTACCCCGTGCTATTGTAAATATGTGTTTCTGTTGGGTTTACATACATTTACATATGTTTTAAAACTCTCCTGGGATGGGAAACCATTAGGGACAATGTTAGCTTTTTCCATTACAATCGCCCACGTTTGCTCCGCAGTGTCATTGAATGGGAATGGCCGTGTGCGAGCGGCGGAGGAAGGAGGGTACATGAGGCGAGGAGGGGAGCTGGAATTGAGAGGTTGTTCTTAGCATTATCTGTGGCACATAGAGAGAGAGTGTGTGGCTCTCGCTGTGCCACTCAGTCAGGGAGCATTAAGCTTTAAGAGGCAGCGAAGAGACTCAGGTCTTCAGAGGGAACTTGACATTGTTCATAAATCCCTCAGGATCTGAGACAGAGGCAATGACACACACACACACACACACACACACACACACACACACACACACACACACACACACACACACACACACACACACACACACACACAAAGTCAGTCTTTAAATTTCCCCATTAAATACATTTAGCAATACAATTTGGCAGTCATGTGTATTATATTACATATTTAAATCAATTTAACCATCATCCCAATCAATTTGCTTCCTCCTACTCCCTTTCGGACACATATGATTTTTTTTCTTTTTAATTATTATTATTAATATGAAGACTTTTTTTGTTGAATATATAAATATTATCGTGAATGTGGATAATACTGTATTTTAACAATACGGTATTGTGTTTTTTCACATTTGTTATTTTTTATTTGTTATTTTTTAATCTGTTCGAAATAAAGATTGAAATGAAATGAAATCATTCAGCTCTTTATAAACATCTCAGATGATCAAATATCAAGTGATTTAGTAAATCACTTTATCAAATAATCAAATATCAAATAATCATATTTAAAAAGAAGATAGTGAATGTCCAAGGAAAAATATGTTACTATTCATTCCTAATTTAAAATTGTACAATACACTATACAAGCGTAAAACATACACCTTTTAATCGCGTTATTTGTCTGACTGTAAGAAAATGTGAGATTTTGCCATCCTTGACAACTTTCTTCCAAAGGACTGCCAATAGATGTATTATGGTTCTGGCAAACACAAAGCATTTGATGTTAACTTCCCCAAAAGGTTCTTGTAGTTCCTTTTCAGAAGATATTTTGACATGTTGCACTAGGAAAAACAGCTGTACAGCTGATTTTGATCCAGGTTCATGGTGTCATACTTAAACATTCAGACAGTTGGCCATATCTACATTTATAAGGGCTCATTTATGGTTAATGCAGAATAAATATAAGTTTTAATATTAGTGTACTTTATAATCTGTTGTGTGCATATATACAGTAAGATAATATGAAAGTAATATGTGAAATAATATTTTAGGTACTTTTTCCAATACATTGAATTGATTGCTGCTAAGCTATCAGGAAATTCAGTTGGGTCATTTAAGACAAAAGCATCCTCCATATTAGTTATAGTCCTATCAAAAATCCTCATGATTCGTGAGCGTGCTCAAGCGAACAGAAATGTTAAAAGCTCTCTTCTGATTTTCACACAATCAATTGACTCCTTGCTTGTGAAAGTGACCCCTGTACTGTAAGTCATACTTATAATCAACTTCTTATTCATCGATCCTTTTGCAACTTTGAACTTCATATGCTTCAATCCATTGGCTCTCACTAATCGCCACAAACAAGAAATTAAGAATACCATTGACTGATGTTATGTGATAACATGTCTTATAGGTTTAATAAGTAGCTGTAAAGAAATGTTTTCGGTGTCGTGATGAAGTCATGATACTAAAAATGTTATATTTGAACCAGAATTTAACTTTAGAAAGTGTATGGAGTGGAGTGCATGCAATCTTTTTGGAGAAGTTTAAGAAGTTGGGGCATCTGGCCAAAGCCCAGCCTGTTGTTTTCATACTTCAGAACTCTGGCAGTGCTCTCCTCATGTAACGTCTCATTGATAAGAGCAGCAAACACCTCATTTACAGGAACCTTAGCTATAAGATCAGGTACTTTAAAATCCATCCAAACACATTCAGACCCTGCCTATGTGCCAGCAAATAAAACACCTTGATATCGGCCCAACTAAACTAGGATGATTCTGTCTTAATGTCCCATTTCAGGGACCAGGGAGTCCATAGTCTTTATGGCTCCTCAGAATTGCAGGTAGTAATGTCTGACACAGCAGGGCTCCTGCCTTTCAGATGATCAAAAGAACAAGTTCAGCCTGCAACCAGAGCCACTTACAGCAGACATCAAGAAGCAGCAAGATTGGCAGCTTTTAGGTCTTTGGTCCATTTCATCAGCCATTACTACCAGCAGAGACGTGCTGAGGAGGACGAGTGGGAGGAGGGGAAGGCAGATTAACAGACAGCTGATACAGGTGTATAGGCGGTATCAAACAGCAGCTCTGTCAATACAGCAGCCTCCAAATTTCTTCAGAAAGCGCTGGGATCCCCAAAGTATGCCCACTGATTTCACTATGACAGGATTAACTGGGAGCTCCGAATGATTTTCTCAGATTCTGTGACTCAACAATTCAGTGATCCACGTTGTATCGGCTTTAAAGGCCCCTATCCCAAGTTTCAAAAGCTTACCCTTCGGACAAGGGACACTCTTTTTCTCCAATGCGGTTCCGCTTCCCTTTTTTTTTTTTTGCTGCATTCAGTTGTTCATCAACCCCCGCGTCCTCGCCAGCTCTCCCATCCTCCCTTCTCTGCACATCTGCTACGTTTGAGTTTTCCTTTCTTCCCTCCAGCGCCTTGCTTGGCCCAAGGCCCTTATAGCCAAATTGGTTTACATTGGAGAGATAAATGCTCTGCAAATGCGCTTAAACACGTACAGTAAAAAATGCAGACAGTGCGTGTCAGGATTATCACCCAAGTCAGGGGGAGAAAGGAGAGCGTCTCTGTAGCACAAAGCTGGGGAGCCGGAGTGAAGCCTGCAGATATAGTCCGTCTCATCCACTTCTCAGGAGAAAGAGAGGAGGATTTAGCATTTGCATGCTAGTCTGTAATTCCTGGCATTATATAACTTGTCGCCAACAATCAAACTCCTGTGGTATTGTGAAAGTATTGTTTCACATGGGTGAGCAAAGTGTGGAGTTACACTCCTGGGGGAAGGGGTTTTGGTGGCAGCATGGAGACAGCTGGTCCAGGATGTAGACCACCCTATAAGCCCACCGAACAACTCTCTCCTGCAACACAACCTCAGGCCCGACTATACAAGGTGCTCCACAAAATCGTCTAAAAATATTCAGTTTACAGCATAAATTACTCACTTTAACATGGCGAGTGATCTGTTGGAAGAGTCTGATCCAAAGTGCAACAGCATGAGAAAGGAGTATTAAAAAAATGCACCTGTGTGTTCTTCTAAGGTCAGGTCTGCTGTCAAATATTACATTTGAATGGTTAAAAAAACACTTGTACTTCTATGTAAATTGATCACAATTTAACTTGTTTCAGATGTTGTGTGAAGTTATCACTTAAGGTGAAGTCTTAAGTTTGACATCATATATATTAGGAATTCATATTGAGACAATGTGTCATCACTTATGTCACTTTAAAATATGGACATATGGAAGAATGATTTTAACGTGGGATAAATTCACGTTTAGTTTTTTTTGGAAGATAGTTGTGTTTACCTGCTCAGGGCCTTCATATGGAAAAGGGATGGCTATTACACATGGTACATATCTTCCCTTTTGCTTGAAAATAAGGTTTTTGTACATGGTTCTGGACAAAAACCAGTAAAAATATATACTTATTATATATATTTTTAATAAATGCTAATTAATTTCCTAAACAAGCTTGCAATGCAATTTTTAGGTCATACTTAATACATAACACAGGAGGCAATACTTGGTTTTCATTCATAGATTAATAGAAATGTCTTGCTTTAGTGAGTATTTAGCAGCAGGACGGTGTGTGTTGGTCAGACTAAAAAACAACTACAGTGTGCATTTTCATAGGGATGCGTTTTTTTATTATTAAACATTGTAGGTTCAAGACAGAAATACGCAGACAATACATGTTTACAAGATCAATTCCTTATTGTTTTTGGTCTTTTTATGGGATTTGTTGACGAAAAAGGAATATCACAAGAATGATCCCTCATAGAAATAAGATAAACTCATCACAACACAGATATATCCTCGAGTCAGCCTACAGGAATATTTGACACTCCCACATATCCGAGCAGATGTACCGTCACCAAACAGAAGAGAAAGAGGTCTCACTTGGTGACGACAGGTATAGAGCTTAAACAGACAAACTGTATCCTAAAGACTCAGGAAACAGCTCTCCCTTTTCTCCCCACCTGCTGCTGTTGCTGTCCACTATCATCAGTGTAAAACCCCTCCTCATGCCCTGCTCTGGGGATTTGGGTGTAAAACTTCCAAAAGAAACCCCCCTTCCCAAAAAACAGCCCCTTTTTTTTCATCCCCACGACCTTCTCCTCCCTCCAAATCAACGCCGTCCCCCTCAAGACCCCCCAACACAAAGCCCTCGGAGCAAAACCCAGCACAGGAATCATAGCACACCATTCAATCATTGTTTTTTCCCCTCTCTCACCCCTTTTATGGTCCCACTAAAGGTTTTAGCCGGGCAGAGAAGGAGGGCTGTCACTGAGGAAACCTTAGCCCATTGATGAAGTGACAGGAGCTGCCAGAATATGATCCTAATCCTGTTTCCAGCATTCTTTTAGCCCGCTGGCATCGCAATTCCTCCACACATTCTCTGAGCTGTCAACTAGGAAAATCCCTCTAATAGCGCATTGCCCAGATACACATCAAAGAGCTCCTGGAAACCTTCAACGGCTTAACTGCCATAGACACACACACACACACACTCTCTTTCTCTCACACACAGAATTCCCTTTAATTTACCCAAACATGAGCTTAACGAACACTTAAAACACAGAAATTCATGACAAATTGACCACAAATTGTAAAAGTATACCTGAAAAAAGTCCCACAATTATTTGTTATGCACTGTAACCTGCCCCGTGTTAAACCGCCCACCCCTTTCACCTGTTTTTCTCCAGTTTGCAGTGATATAATCTTTACGGTCAAGGAGCGAGAAAGCGAGAAAGGACCAGGGGAAAACAGGTGTCTGAACTTTGCTGACTCCAGGAACCCTTTCAGTCCCATTTTATCTCTTTCTATTCTTACTTAATCCATCGATATCCCAACCAAAGGTAATCTTCTTATGGCAAAGCATTCTGTTTCGGTGCAGCCAAACCTCAGCTGACAGGGTGAGGGAGGGGGAGAGGGGGGGAGAGAGTGAAGGGTGGGTGGGTTTGTGGATTGGAGACTCTTTAGAGCCTGTGCTTCAGTCATTTCATTTAGGATTAGTTATCCTGTGAACAAGTGGCAGGTTCTCCCCTATGTGGTGTGTAAACCTCACAGTGCAGCACCGTAGGCCTCCTGTGTCTAAATTATTTACGGTTCATCAAGGTGTCTTCAGTCGAACATATTAACCAATTTCTATTTGTCTATAAAGGGTTAAATGTGGAAATCAAAAGTGATTCAGTTTCCTGTCAGACATCCAGAGAGGAGCTGAATTCGGCTCACATTAAAAAAAGTCCCTCTCTTGTTGCAGACTGGAGAAACTTTGAGAACATTTTTTCATTTTTTGTAAGACCTGCGAGTGCATGTTGGTTAGATGTCATGCAATATGATTTATTGCTAGTTCATGATCTAGACGTCTTATCGGCTCCTTCTGACTCACTTTTTATCCACATAATCTTCTAACAGAACACAACTCCCAAGAAGAAAATGTGATTTTGTAAACATCCATATCGTGTCCTGAATTCAACCAAAATATCTGAATGTAGAAACTATTGCTTCAACTCTGCTCTTTTCTTACATTTTTAACAATAGTTGTTTTGGTTTTCTTCAGCCTTAATTTTTTTGTCATTTTCTTATCACTCTTTGCTTAAGAAAAAAGCCAAAATAAGACAATGTGTTTTCCAAACGACGACACTGACAACACTAGTCATTCTTAAGTGTGATTTATTCCCTTGCAATAAACAGATAAATTACTCACATTTTTAAACAATTGAGAAATACATTTCTTGAATCTACAGTGATATAATACATAGAGAATGGGCCTGTGTGCTTTCTGCTGAAGCTCAGATAAAGTGGTCCGGCACCCGAGTTCACAAAAATATTCGTCAGCTGATGTGTTCATATTCATTTGTCACTGTGCCTCCTCTGCAGATTTTCCCCTTATTTAAATGCTGCCGTAGGTCCTTTGCTTAAAGCCACGATTGAAAAATAATAAATTGAACGTTTCCTCTCAAATCCTTCACACAAAAGGAGACATGGAGATATTTTTTTAGCCAGGCAGATGGAGGTGAACACTGAGGGATATTTACAATGCTCAATGGACTCAGCTGTAACTTTAAACAAGGAGAGTGGTGTGTCATCTACCAAGAAATACAGTTGTGTGGGGGATTAGAATGAGGTATTTCAGCTTAATCTCTGATATCAGATCAGATGTGACTTCATTCTGTGTTTGCGGCTTTAAGCCATGCTTCAGAGGGGTGCGTGCATGCATAGTTCACGTTCAGGGGTTGAATTATGGAATATTTTAAAATCTTATATCTGTCCTTAAATCAGCTCTGGTTTCGAGACTGTTGTCCCTGACTTCACGGAGGACGATGAACTCTTTCTGATCAGCTTCTTTTAGTAGAGTTGGCTTGTTGTGTTGACCGGGAGAAGTCAAATACAAGCATAGGATCCACGGGCTAAATGTCACAACTGCAGTCCAGGTGGGATTTCTTTAAATCCATTGAGTTCTTGTGAGAATTACATTTTCAGTTAAGTCTATCCAACAGAGCTGTTCTTCCAGTCCTGGTTTGCTCCCAGCGCTGAGCAGCATGCCCACATGGTGACAATGAGGTGAAGGGGTGCATCAAAAACTCTGGGCCCCAAATGGAGTGCGCCTAAAGTGCCTGCTCTAAAACACGTATAATGGCCGTCATGTTTGCTGAAAAACAATATTCTTCTACTGTTTTGGTTCACTGCTCTGGTTTGGAAATTGGATTTAGTTCAACTTTAGAAAACTGCAAACAAAACTTTGGCCATTTATTGTTGAATTACAAGCAGAAATGTGTAATTTGCCCGGTTTTAAACAGAGGACTTGGGAGTTAACATTAGGGTAGCACCCAGAGGCTTAAATATAAATCTAAATATAATGAATATTTTTGGATGTGTTTGGATTGGTACAAATAGCTGCTGACGGCGGTGAAGCAGCAAGCAGAAAGAAAACAGGGGCCCAGAGTCACCTCCTGCAAACAGGGCCCATAATTCATCAGTACGGCCCTGACTAGAGGGCGAATGCTCAGCCCGAGCTTCAGTTGGGGTGCGTGTCCAATCCCAGCGAGGCTGCGTGCTGCTTGGCCCTCAGACGGAGGTTCTCGATGCTGGTGGTCTTGCTGTTGAGGCTCCCGGGTAGACCTCCTGGCCCCCCCTGCATCATAGGGCTGCTCCACACCTGCTGGGCCTGCGACAGCGTCTGGTAGTAGGACGGGCAGGGCATCGAGCTCAGGGGGGACGGCACGTTGACGTTCATGCCGAGGTAGGGCATGGGGGGGGGGGGGCGGGGTCATCTCGAAGGACGGGTAGTGCACCATGTTGTTGGTGGCGACCATGTGCTGCCGAAACTGCTCCTGCAGCCGGAAGAGGCTGAGCGGAGACGAGGCGTAGGAGTTACCTTGAGCCAGACCACTGGTGACGCTGCTGGAGGACGGCAAGGGGGGGGAGATCAGGGGGGAGTCTGAGAGAGAGGGAGAGAGGGAGGACTTTAATATGATTCAACACACACTGGCACCAGTTCGGTGAATGGTTATGGCTTTTTAGTAAAGGGCAGGTAACATCCGACTTTCTTCTCCCTGCTTCTTTCCATCATTGGCTACAGAAAATGTTTAAAGTGTACATGTTTTCTGTATATAATAATTGCCATGAGTGGAGTTTGTTAATGAAGTGCTTTTACATTCTGTATAGAAGTCAGCAATAAGCCATTCAGAAACATTCAAACAGCGACAGAATAGCTAATCAGAACGACCCTCTGATTGGTGGATGATGTGGGCTTTGGAAACCAATTCAGCAAAAACATACTCTCCAAAAACGTGATTTGATTCTTAAATATGATGAATAATAAGGCAACATAGAAGAGAAAGAAGAATATTTGTACCTGGTCTGGGGCTCAGCTGTTTGCAGATTGGGGAGCTGCTCCCCGGCTGCGCCCCCCCCTCCCCCTGCGTCTCCTCCCTGCTCTTCCCCCTCGTCTCCCCTCTCATCTCGTCCTCCTCTCTGTCAGCGTTATCCTCCGCTGCTGACTCGCTGTCCGACGGCTCAGGAGAGGTGACGTTCACTTCCACGCTCGTCTCTCCTGGCTGCGGCCGAGCGGTGTCTGACGGGCAGGATGAGGAGGAGGATGGAGGGGGGGGGGGTCTCAGGAACCAGGGCGGTGCTGCTGGTGGTGGTTTCAGTCTTGGACTCCTCTGTGGAGCCCTCTGCAGCTCCGGACGCCTCCTTCTGTTTCTGCAGCTGCTCCTTCTGCAGGCTGCGCTGCTTCTTACGAAACTTGGCCCTGCGGTTCTTAAACCAGACCTGGCGAGATGAAAGACGGATAGATTAGCTTCTGGGTCCAGGACTTAAAGTATCACAACCAGAATCAAGTTTATTGCCAGGTACTTTTACACATACAAGGATTTTGCTTTGGTGTATGGTGGTGCAACCATAAACAATCTAAGAAAACAAGTTGTAAGAGTAGGTCAAAAATATAACAATTATAAAATGTATTTATTTTTTAAAGCTATTTAGCACTAAAAAGGAACAAAGACAAGTATTTACACCAAATGCAAATGTATTTATACAAAAGAAACTAAGAGGCCTGCATAAAATATTAAAGATAACAATTACAAAAATACACAAAAGTACAATAAATACAGTGACAGTATTTCTTTAAAAAGTAGAAGTACTGTGATAGAAGCCAGATAAAAGTAGTGAAAGTACAAGTATACAGTATATTGCACAGTCATTGAGTAGTCTAACTATGAGATAGCAGCCAGTTAAAGTAATAATTTAAAAGTGGGATATATATATATATATATATATATATATTGCACATAAGTGATAATGCACAACAGATGTGTTATAGTCTTTGTTGTTGTGGTCTACAAGGGGACATGATGGTTGTACAACTAACCTTCATATTTAGTTGGAACAGTGTGTAACTTAACAAGGCATAGGACTTTCTCTGTTCATATACTGCTTATACTGATAGCACTGATGGTTATACTGATGGTCTATCCATTATGACTTTTACTGAAACACGATTGCCTTTAGTTTCTTTTAAGCTGGGCACCACAGAGGATAGATGCACTCTGAGGGGTTTTACCTGGACGCGGGCCTCGGGCAGGTTGGTGCACATGGCCAGGCGTTCCCGCATCACCACGTCGGGGTAGTGGGTCTTCTGGAAGGTTTTCTCCAGGGCCTCCAGCTGCTGGGCGGTGAACGCGGTCCGACTGCGCCGCTGCTTTCGGTGCTGGGAGCCATACCGGGCCTCGAGGATAATGTCTTGAAATGTGCAGCCGTTTGAAAAAACAAACACGAACAGTTTAATTGAGGAACAGGTCAAAGGTCCTTTCAACACACATACAGGGATCAACACAGGACAAGTGTGTTATATGGAGTGGAAAATAGAGATTACAGATGACATTACATGAAAGTTAAACTTTGAACAGAGGTGCGAGAAATACTCAAATCTTGTACTTGTAAAGTATCAGAGTGTAGGAATACTCTGTTACAAGTAAAAGTCCTCGAGTAAAAGCACAAAAGTATTAGCATCAAAATATAGTCAAAGTACCAAAAGTAAAAGTACTTATTATGAAAATTGCTTTTACTCTACTACATATTTTCAATACCTTTAATGACTTTGCAGATCTTGATTTATAATGTGATAAACAACCCTTAAATAAGACGTTAGTTACACCTGTAAATCCACAAGATCCCCTGCAGTACACAAAGTGATTACAATTAGCTGCACCTTTACCAGCTTTAATTACAATGTAATGCTGCAATTGTCATAATAAAAACATGTAATATATATTATTCTGAAATCAGCAGCATGAGTACTTTTGGTACTTAAATATATTTCAATGCTAATACTTTTGTCTTTTCTCTTGAGTAACATGTTGATTGCGGGACTTTTACTTGTAACAGAGTCCTGCTCTCTACTTATACTTGTAATCAAGAACAAGATATGAGTACTTCTCCCTCCTCTGACTTTGAACAACAATATGAGAGGCGGTTCCTTACCAGCCAGTCTCTCTGCCAGAGTGAGCGCGTGCACGGAGGGCCTGTAGTCCGGTGTGTGCTGGGCCTGCTGCGCCGCCTGCTGGTGGAGGTTGTACATGGCGCTCAGAGAGTTCATGGCGTGCAGAGAGTATCCGTTCACCCCGTAGTGCTGCATGGCGGAGAGTCTGCAGAGAGGAGGACCAGAGGCTGCTGTGAGTGGGAGGCATCTCCATACAAACTAATAGTGTTGTATAGCTGCTATTAAGAAAGGATAAACTTATATACTTTGTGTAATATTTTTCGTTGTATGCTGACTATTAAAATTGACAACAGGTGCAATGCAACCAGCAGTGTGTTCCTGGGAAAAAGTAATTATTTCATTTAAACGAAGAAAATGTAAGAAAATAACTATTAATGATATTTGAGGATGTCAGATTAAGATTTGTATACACTATAACGTGTTAGTCCAGTTTGATAAATTCAAGCAAAACGAAACGAAACATGTAAAGTGGCAGTATATTTTTCCAATAGAAAAACACACAGTGGGATTTAAAGCGTATAGAAAATAACATAATTATTATTGTATTACCTTTCACATTGACATTTATAGTTATTATTTGATCAAAGCTTTCATGAAAAAGTGAATTCACACTTATTAATTTTTTGAATATTAAACAGATTTGGAATAAATGTGGTCCCAGTTTGTGACAATGAACAGTGAAGATTACAATGTATATTAAATAATGTATTCACCCAAATAAGATGTAGCTATAGTATAAAGGCCTACTGCAGTAGTTCAAAGGAAAATATTTTTGAAATAGGCTAATGTTAGTCTACTTTATTGTTTATAATGTTGCATTACGTTGTGTAGTTATTTTTGATGTAACATGCTCACATTAGGAAACATTAAATCCGTGCCGAAGATAATAGCGTCATTTCTTTAAAGTTGTCTAGAAATGCGATGCCAAAAAAATAAAATTATCCTCCCTTTAATAATAACAATACAAATAATAATACAAATAATATTAATAATAATCAGGTCGATTAAAAAAAGTTAGACATTTTCCCCAAGGCAATACTTTATTCTGCTGTCTTAGTTAACCATATTTTCATACAATTTACAGCGTGCAGAATTTCAATTGAAAATATTTGTTTTGTCTAAAGCTGCAACATATTTACTCCCGGAGATTTGTCTGAACCAGGGCCGTTTGTGTTGACGTGTGTCGGGTCTCGGGTCAGCTCCAGCCGCCCGGAGGCTGACGGAGCTCCGTTGTAACGTGGTGATAAAACAGCTATTCATTTATCAAGTCTGACACATGGAATATGGACCAACGTGTGTGTGTGTGTTAAGCTATACGTGATCAAAACGTGTGACTAATGCAATAACTTTTTTATTCATGTGACTATTTCGTTGCATTATTTTGAGACCAGCCCCTGGCTACATTCATGTATATTTTTTGGGTTAAATCTGCAGCTTAAAAATTCAACATAGTGCCGTTTTTCTTCCAGGACAATGACACGTCCTCGGGCTCTGGTTTAAGGCTAATTATGCTAATTGCCGTGGATTTATGAGTTATACAGCTTTTTACTAAAGAGTGCCTCGGGGCCGGGCTCTACATGGCGTCAGTTCAGCAGCATTCAGGAACTTAAACGACATAGGAAATAAATGGGGATAATTAGGCTAATACATAGTCAATTAACAACGTGTGAAGTTAAACAACCATAAAATAACGTCACAGTCTTGTTAAAACGCGTTTAAAAGTGCACGAAAATCCGTCCGTTTAACAGCCTTGTTACTATAAGTGTTACTGAATACTTTGACCAGTTACATTTAATTGAATTATTGAATACAAATAACGACAGTCACTGTTTTTGTTTCGAAGAGATCGACGGAATGCACTGTTGACAACCGAATTTTTTTCAAGAGTTATTGGAGTTTTAATAATAAAATACGTCGCGATATTAAACAAAATGCAAGGGAAAAAAGACTCTTACATCAATGCAAAAATATTTTTTAAAACAATACTTGTTAGGCTGCACAAGTCTAAGTTAGAAATACAATATTCGCAACTCTGCAAAACTTCTTACCTCTCGTCTATCGGTGTGTCAGAAGCGAAATATGTCCACTATAGCAGCCGAATATTCTCCTTTTTAAATCTTCGTCTCTTCCGGTTGTTCAGGTTTTCATTTCATTAGCTGTTTCTTTCACGTAGAGATCCTGAGGATGTCCTGGTGGCTCGGTCTCTCCTCTCTGGGTGTGGGAGGATGCTGAGCTGCTTCTCCCGGCCTTTAAAGCTCTCTGGGTGGGGGGTCACCGGGACGCGAGGACAGGCCAATCAGATCGCTTCCCTCCTCCCCCCCCCCTCCCTCACACTACTCCTCACTTCAGAGAGGATTTCTGCATCCGAGGTGCCGATATTTCTGTTATCATTTTCAGCGACAAAATGCATTGACGTATAAATTATAAAAGCTATTTTATTTAGTATTTAAGCTTTTTTTTTTGTTGTTGCCGAAATTGACAATTATAACAATTATTGATATTGAGAAATTGTGCGAGGTGATAAATATGATAATGTTTATATTTCTGGTTTAAACTGAAGATGCACTTACTTAAAAAGCCAATTATGTAAATACTTTAAAACATTTTTTTCAATCTGAGCACGACGAGATGCTTTAGCCCTTTCTTTTGAATGTATCAGTCTTTACCTTCATTTTTTTATTTCTTTCATATTTTTGGGTTTACTTTAACATTCTTTGCTCGAATTGTTTTTAATACAAACATTTAACAAACAAACCTCGATACTCCAACCACAGTAATTTAACATTTCTGTACCCATAGCATTATTAAATGGCTAAACACTAATGTGCATATTAATATTGCATTCATGTTTAGGCTCAAGCAACCATTACACACATGTGATTACAAATAAAACAGATTATTTAAAAAAACATCTGAAGTATAGTCAGCAGCCTGAAATTAATAATTTCTTTATTATTTCTAAAGTGTCTTAATAATACACGTTTAAAAGCAACCTCCAGCAAAAAAAACGTTTGTATATCCAGCCAAAAATAAAACTCTCTAACACCTCTTAATTAAATGATGTGCAGTGGCTCTCTCTCTGCTCGGGGACTTCAGGTTAATTCCACTTTAATTTTATTTTCCTGTTTGCTGGGAAGCAGCTGAGGTGATGCAGCTCCTGCAGCTCCCCGGCCCCCAGGGATTTAGGTTAGGATTGGGTAGACAAGACGCCATTTCACCCTCCAAAAAAATGTCTTAAAATGACTGCTGGTAAGAGGATTAAAACAATAATGCCCCCTCTCTTCTTCAAGGTTTTTAGAAAAGATTTCTTCTCCCGGAGAAAAACCGTTTAGGCTGGAATTAAGGGCAGCGGAAAGTAGCCTTTTAATGTAAAGCTTGCATATTTTGTAGAATTTTCTTATGAGAGAGTGAGAAAGAAAGAAAGGGGAAAGTGGGGTTGGGTTGGGTGGAGGTGGTGGTGGGGGGGTTTAAAATCCTCAACTCAATTCGATCTTTGGCCACATTCATCTGCAGAACTTTAGGCTCCTGGCAACAGCCATGTGTTAAAAGAAAATGTGATATAATGCATTCACTCAAAGTTCACTTGAGTTTTATTAGTGTCCTCACTCTTCTTTCTGTTTCATTTGAGCTCTTATGCAACAGGGAAAACACAAAATATAAAAGCAACAACGACGTTTTTACGCAACAAGTGGTTACTGGTGCGTAATTGGATTTCGGTGCGTAATTGGATTTTCTTTTAACTGAAGAAAGAAATAGAACAATCAAGAATAATGACAAATCTTATGTTTGTTGTTTTAATTCTTACCATGTGTTGCCTTTTTTGGTAAGTATAGCTGCAGAGCATTTAGGCCCCAGAGGAGAAAAAAAAATCGGATTAACTTGTGAACCGATGGAAATAAGAACTTAAACTGGAGGTAAATCTGGCTAGTGTCTCTTTGTGGGAACCGTTCCTAAAGCAATTAAAGCGAGAAGGAATTCCTCTCAGCTGCTCTTCTTCAAATCAGCTTTCTACGGACCTTAATGCGGGCTAATGTCCAGCACGACCGAGGCTTTAGACAAGTGTCAGAGGGCCTGCTATTAGAGAGACATTAGGCCATGGAGCCACACACACACACACACACACACACACACACACACACACACACACACACACACACACACACACACACACACACACACACACACACACACACACACACACACACACACACACACACACACACACACACACACACACACACACACACACACACACACACACACACACACACACACACACACACACACACACACACACACACACACACACACACACACACACACACACACACACACACACACACACACACACACACACACACACACACACACACACACACACACACACACACACACACACACACACACACACACACACACACACACACACACACACACACACATGATTTAGTGGACAGTAAACTCACTGACTCAGATTCACACAATAGAACTTGGACACTTATACGTATAAATATTCAGAACAAACTATAAAGCCTCAAACACTTTTTTAAATAATCAGTATTTTTACAATAATAATCAAAAGGCAGTTTTCAAAATGAATTGTTTACTTAAAGTTCTGATGCCTAATTTGTCATCTTGCATAATGCAAACTGTTATGCAAATTGTCTAAACTACTGAGTTATCTTTCAAATGTTTTTGTTTCATGAGATATTACAAGATGATTCTATGGATAATGATGACATTTTAAAGTGTATTTTCCCTTTTGTACATACTACAGTATATAGTAGAGCATTTGATGTTTTACACTACCTGGAGTAACGTTTCATAAATATCTAAATTGAGGATTTTAATCTTAATTTTGACAGTGGCTCTAACTAGCAAATTACTTTCATAATGCATTTGTTTTATGAGATATTGCAATGTGATTCTAGGAATAATAGTGACATTAAAAAGTGGATTTTCTTAAAGTTTAACCACTTAATGTACATACTTTAGAGTAGAAAATATGATGTTTTACACTACATGGAATGTGTAGTTTTGTTGATGTCCAAATTGAGGATTTTAAACAGCTCCAACTATTTTCATAATTTAAAAAAATCTGCCTTTTACCTACTCAATAGATCTCATGGTGACAT